GAGGGAGGAGCCAAGTGGTCTACTAGTCTCACTGGGCTGAGGAGACAAAGTTGCCAGCATGACAAGAATTTGTGGGGCAAAATGCTGGGGAGGAGAGATGCACAGAGAGAGCACTCTGGAGATTTTCAGAGGGGTCCTCTCTAGGCTTTGGCTGAGTACTAATGTGTAAATGTGTGTGAGGAAACTACCCAAGGTTGGAGGAAATAAAAACACCAGAAGTGAATGAGAGAAATTCTCAAAACAGTTTGTATTCTCACCATCCAGAAAGAAAAGACTTAACACACAGGGCATGGAGCGGAGCAGAGTCCTAAAGGGTGATGCCCCAGGGCAAAGGGGACAATTTAGACCTAGACTATAGGCTGCCTTGGACCCATTGTAACTGGGACAGATTGAATAATCATCCCCCCAAGATGCCCACACCCTATTCCCTGGAACCTGTGAGTGTTACCTTAGGTCACAAAAGGGATTTTGCAGATATGATTAAGTACGGATATTGAGATGTGGAGATTATCCAGGATTATTTGGGAGGGATGGGTAGAATCAAAATGGTCCTTATAAGAAGGACACAGGAAGAATCAGAGTCAGAAGAGAAGGCAATGGAAGGAATGATGGATGCAGAAATTGGAATGAATCACTTTAAAGATGGAAGAAGAGGCCACAAACCAAGGAAACCAGACAGCCACCAGACACTGGAAAAAGAAAACAAATTCTCCCCTCAGGACCTCCAGAAGGAACCAGCCCTCCTGATATCTTGACCTTAGTCAAGAGAAACCGATTTCAGATTTCTAACTTCCAGAACTGTAAGAGAATAAATGTGTTGTTTTAAGCCACTAAGTCTGTGGTAATTTGGTACAGTAGCAGTAGGAAAATAATATATTTACTACTCTAACGAAGCTTTAAAGCAAGCCTTGAAGGAATCTAAAACTGAACCAACATGTTGCACATAATAAATATATAAAATGTTTGTCCATTGAAAAATAAATACAGGGCCAGCCTATGGCTCACTCAGGAGAGTGTGGTGCTGAAAACACCAAGGCCATGGGTTCAGATCCCTATATAGGGATGGCCGTTTCGCTCACTTGGGAGAGCATGGTGCTGACAACACCAAGTCAAGGGTTAAGATCCCCTTACTGGTCATCTTTTAAAAAAAAAAAAAAAAAAAACCTTTGCAGCCACACTTTAAAAAAATTAAAAATTAATCTTCTAAAAACTGTGAACATAGAATTCTATACCCAGCAAAAATATCTTCCCCCAAAATACTTTTCCATGATTAGAGCACAGTGCTGATAACACCAAGGTCAAGGATTCGGATCCCCTTACCATTCGGCTGCCAAAATTAAAAACAAACGAATAAACAAAAAACAAAAAAACTTTTTCAAACTAAAGTAGAAAGAATTTATCACCAACCAATCTGCATTACAAGAAATGTTAAAGGAATTTCTTTAGGCAGAAGGAAAAATGTTACCAAAAGGAAATCTGGATCACACAAAAGAATGAAAAGCACTGAAAATGGCAATATGTGGGTAAATATAAGTTTTATTTCTCATTTAAAAAATACCTTTAAAAGATTCCTACCCTACAACACAGCTATTCCACTCCTAGGTGTTCACCCAAGAAAAACGAAAACATATATCCACACAAATATTTCTATGTGAATGTTCATAACAACTTTATTTGTAGCAGTCAAGAACTGAAAAAACTCCAATGTTCTTCAGCAGATAAATGGATAACTAAATTGTAGTATATTGATACAATGGAACACTATTCAGAAAAAAAAAAAAAAACAACTATTGATACACATAAAAATGCAGATAAATCTCAAATAATTACACTGAAAGAAGATAAACCAAAAAAAAAAAAGTATATTTTCAATGATTCCATTTATATGAAATTCTAGAAAACGCAAATTAATCTGTAGAGAGAGAAATCAGATCAGTAACTTCCAGGCAACAGGACAGAAGGTAGAGATACATGGATTACAAAAGGGCATGAGGAAAGTTTTGCGGGTGATAGATATACTCATTATTTTAATGTGATGGCTTCACAGCTGTATACATATGTCAAAACTCATCAAAGTGTATGCTTTAAATATGTGCAGCTTACTGTACGTCAATTATACCTCCATAAAGATATAATAAGAAAAGAAGGAAAGAAAAATCCAGGTCCAAATGGCATTGCTAGTAAATTCTACAAAAAATTTAAGGAAGAAAGAATACCGATTCTACACATATTCTTCCAGAAAACAGAAGAGGAGGGAGCACTTCCCAACCCATTTTATGAGGTCAGCATTACTCTGATACCAAAACCAAAGGCATTACAAAAAAAGAAAATTATAGGATATTTTTAAATGGTCATTCTCTGGTATGAGACGATTAAACTAGAATATCTGCCATAATAAGTAAACCACAAAAGGTTCTAGGACAGAGTATGTATGTAATAATGGAAGTAGAAGAATGGGTGTGTGTAATAGTGTATACTTGCACAGAGAGGTGCTGAAAATGGGGATTTCAGATCATACTTTATTCTTTATACTTTCCTCTGTATTGTTTAAATTTTTTATGATGAGCATAGATTGTTTTTATGATAAAAAACAAAATAAAGCTACCTTCATTTTGAAAATATAATACACTTCCGAGGGCCTGAAAGATGCCAAGGTCATATGACTAAAGTAATAACAAAATAAGTAATTGGTCTCAAATCGGCTTTCTGCTGTTACCATCTGGGAGTAAAAACAGATAGCTCTCCAGACCAGCATACCCCTCCTGTGCACCAACTTTGCTCCCTGCAAGTCACAAAATCCAAATGCCCAGACCAATCTCCATTACGGTGTAAGGAAACTTTAGTTATGTGCACATTATGATGATGCAGGGAGCTGGCCAGTCAGCTCAGTTGGTGAGAGCTTGGTGTTATAACAGTCTCAGTCTGGTACAAGTCCAAAGTACTTGTCACCCTCCTTTTGTCAGGAGGCTATTTCCATAGAATACCTTAGACCACTTCTTACTATCTCCACACTTAACCTCTCTATTCTCCAAGTCATTGATTCCTGGAAAAAACAAAGCTCTTTCTGCCTGAGCTCTGAGTTCTGACTTCAACTGAAAGCTACCTCTGGGCAGGAAACCCACTGAGCTCTGTCCACAGCACTCTTCTGGCTGCCTTTCTTCTAGTTTCCAGCAATTGTTTCTTTTTTAAATTTTTTTTCATATCTCCTTGGGGATCTCAGAAGCAGCATGTGTTTCTTGAACACCTATCTGACGCCTTGAATCCTCGTTTCCCAAGCTTGTCTAACCTGGCCTTTTCTTTTTTTTTTTTTCCTTTTTGTCTTTTTTCGTGACCGATAATGGGATCGCAACCCTCAGTGTCACGCCCGTACCACAACCGGCAACGGGATCGCAACCCTCGGTGTCGCGCCCGCACCGCGCTCAACCAGTGAGCAGACCGGTCTCCATATGGGATCTGAACCCTCAGCGGGAGCGCCACCGCACTCAACCGAGTGTGCTACCGGGCCGGCCCTAACCTGGCCTTTTCTGATGGGCCGCTCCCCAAACCCTTCTATTTAGGAGACCTCATCCTGAGTTCCCCCTTATCTCTTCTACCTCTAAACCAGAGTTGGAAAAATGGCGAGCTAATGCGGAATCCAGCTCAGATATGTGTTTAATTTTATTTAGCCCCAATATTAAAAAGTTCTGAAGACTGATTATACAATTTATTTTCGGCCACTGAACTGTATACTTAAAAATGGTTAAGATGGTAAATTTTGTTATGTATATTTTACAATTTTTTTAAAAAATCAGGACATTTCATTTAAAAAAAATCAGGATTTCAGGTATCATTTGAAAAAATCAGATCTGATATCAAAGGACCTGCATTCTTGCATGGCAACCATTTCTAGTTTACCACCAACCCGACCACCATACATCATTCTTTTTTTTTTTTTTTTAACTGTTTGGCTTCTTCAGGTATATGACTTTGTGACTCCTGCTCTAAACCCAGAGTGTCACTTTTCACAATACAGTCCTCCAGTGTCAGCCACCAGCTCGGCAAGCTAAAAGTCTTAGAGCCAACACAATCACCCCTCAGAAATTGATGATAAACACTAGCATGATTAAGACTATCCCTAGAAACTCTATGCCAAACCTTGCCCCAAATACACTATGCCTTTCCTCCTTTTCTTTCCATTTATCTAAATATTGCTCTTCCTCACTTCTCACTCATCCAGAAAGTCTTCTCCATCAACTCTGATTCACAAGGGGTTCTTCTTCCATGTTTTACAGGATTTAGCATCTGTATTGTTAGTTACCTTGTATGTGTACATCCCATTTGCCCAGTTACACCTCAAGCCCCTGTTCAATCAGCAAATATAAAGCGGCTACTCTAGGCCAAATATCATTCTAGGCAATGGGGACAGAGAGGTGAACCAGAAAGACAAGGTCCCTGCCATTACAGAGGTTACTTTCCAGTGGACAAAGACATACAAATAAGCAAAACATTTCAAATACTGGTAAACATTTTGGGGGAAATGTGAAGCAGGGTAATGATATAGGGAATGATCAGGTGGGGTGGGGCTACTTTATGAGTAGGATAGTCAGTGAAAGGCTCTTTGAAGAAGTATATTGAGCAGAGACCTGAATAAAAGGGAGCCAGCCATGAGAAGACCATGGGAAAGATCATTCTAGTCAAAGGCAACAGCAAGTGCAGAGTCCCAGTTTCAGGAAAAGAAACAGCTGGTGTAGCTAAAGTATAGGAAGTGAGGAAAGACAGTAGTACAAGATGAGGTTGAAGAGTAAGATGGGGCTTAGATTCCACGAGTAATCGATGGTCTACACCTTCTAATATTTTAAGGGAAGGCATTTAATAAATATTTGAGTATCCCACCATTTACATGTTTAAAAATGCCCGCAGTTACTTTTGATCCCAATCATTTTACTGAGGATTACTGGATGACATCAACATTCCTTTCATTCCGTCTTTAGCACCACTGTCTGGCACAGAGAACTGCTCACCCCTTTAATGAAGGTGGGTTTGTCCTTTATGCCAAAGTTCCAGAGCAAGATATCTCCCCCTTTGGAACCCACAGCCAAGGTAGTGGGGTGAGTCGGGTGCCATGCCAAGGACGTAGCCCTCCTGTCAAAGGGCGCGGCCTTTTGGAATATCCGGTAAGTCTCCAGAGAGTGCACAAAGGACTGCTGGAGACCCTGACGTGGAGAAAAAAGAATTACGTTGAATTAAAACCCAAGTCCTGGGTAAACTGCCAATCTCTGCCTCCTTCATGGATGAGCCCTAGGGCCAAGTTCTCCCACCAAAGGAAAGCTAACTGCTCAGCCCTGTGCAGGAAAATATTTGCAATGTATGTGAACTAATCTTGGAAAGCAAAGGGGCACAGGGCATTCCTGCTGGGACCTTTACAACATTAAGAATTTCCTACCTGGCTGAGTGCCCAGTAAGCCAGCCACCCTGGTGGGGGTGATCTGACTACTCTTGACAACCTGTTGAATCAACCCACCATCTAATTTTGGAGCATCCAATAGTAAAATGGTACCATGCAAACCCTTGAGCACTTCAGCCAGGAATTGCCTTACCTGCTGTAGAGATGGCCATGCACCTTTCCCCAACTTATGCTGGTGGAGGGCTCTGATGATGCTGCAGCATGATGGCGGGACCCGCCGGCTAGCCAACCCCTCCCAAAGGCAGCTTGAATCAGATTTTCTGCTAGAACCTGCCAAGCAGAACAGACATATTTTCCTCTCCGATCTCAGGAAACGTTTTAATGCTTAAATCCCAGAAAGAAAGCCTCATTGTTTCATTCGGCATAGCCAATCTCTGTCTCATCCCTTTCCATGGTCTATTTAGTCTCACCCAGCACAAGAAATAATGAACAGAGATTTGGCTCCTTCCGCCAAACACTTCCCAAAACAGTAATTCTGAAGTGAAACTAAATGAGCCAAAGAAACACACAAGAATAAAGTACACTATAGAACTCTTCCCAGTTTGGGCTGGAAAACTCGAGATGGGATTTAGTGACAATTTTTAAATTACATATAATGCACAATAAAAAGATTTTAGGACAGCACGATGGAAGTGACAGTTAAGGAAAAGAAGTATCTTTAAATCCTATATTTAAATAATGTAGAGGTAACCAGCTGTCGGTCCCAAGTCCTATCTGTTCTAGAAACCAGCAGGATTCAGAGGGTCTGGAATAGCTCTAAACTAACTTGGTTACTTCTGGGGAGGTGAATCAAATTAGAATAGGAATAACGTAACTCCGGATTCCAAGCTGTATTTGAGGAACGAAATTCTACGGATGCAAGCTCTTGACAACTAATTCTTTCTTCTCATAGACAAAACCCATTTCATCCACAACGCCCTGCTCCAGTCATTTGAGCTGCCCCACACTCCTTACAGTCCCAGGTTCAAGCCCCAGTAAACCTCAAAAAGTGAGCTAAGGAAGGAAGGAAATTGAGGGCTCTCACAGCTGAAACCAAGCACTATAGAAATTCAGCACACAGCGCCAGAAAAGGTTGGATTATTTTAAGCAGTCCTTGGTGTGTAAGAATCCTGGACACACAAGGAATTTGAAGTCTGTATGTTTGTTGTAACGGAGCTCGTCTGCTTCTCTCGGTCACCTGGGGGGCGGGGGGCGGGGAGTTTGAGCCTAAAGCCTCCGGTGTCAAAGGTCCCGCAGACAAAATGCACAGCCTGAGGCATCCGTAACCCGGGACCGGCTCAGGAACCTAGGAGCACCCAACCCCCACTCCGGCCTCCTGCGTGAGCACCCCTAATGGCAGAAATATTAAAGCAGAAGGCACAGGCAGTACCGGAGCCCTTCACACAGAGCTTCTTGGCCTCGGGCTCCAGTTCCCGGGGACTTCGGCTCCTCTTGTTCCTGGGGCGAAGCACAACCTCGAGGGTCTTCCGTGTTTCTGGGCGTTTCCTGGGAGCCATCGCGTCCTCCGTGCAAAGGGGGTACTATGCCCTATGCCGAGATCATGGAGGGAGGATTGAGAAGCCTCTGGGGAGAAACAAGGCGGGGACTAGGAAACCGCGAGGCCACAGGTAGTCCGACCTAAGCCAACTTCCCGCCAAACATGCCCAGGGCTTGTTCAAACTAGCTTCTAGCTCCAGCCCCACCCGGCTTGGAGAGGCCCCGCCCCTTCCGGGAAGGCGGGGGTGCGCGGGGAGATGGGGAGTGAGGGCGGGGTGAGGTAGGAAATGTGTGAGGGGAGCCCATCCGCTCGCTAGAAGGCCTAGGTGGTGTTTTTTTTTCTTTTGCTGAAGAGCTGGGATATAGCCTACGTGATGGGCTTGGTCTTATCCAAGTCGGCCACCTGCCAGAAATAAAGATGGCCGCCGGCGCTAGGCTATCCAACTTGAAGCCTCTTCGGAGGCAGCGCTGCCAGGCCTCTGCGGGTCGGCCGGGGGAGACCAGGTGCCAATCAAGGCGTTGGCTCCCGCCTTCACTGCATTCTAATTGGTGGTGAAACCCGCTCGGACTTTGGGATTGGCTGGTCCGTGCAGGGTGTAGTTGGGGCGAGGCGGCTTTGCAGAAAGCTAATGCGTTACCTGCGTTGAAAGCTGCGCGTTGTGGCCCATCAACTGTGCCATCGGTGTCCAGTAACTACTTCTGCTCTGTGGAGTCCGTGCTTCTTTATGGAGAGGGGTTAGAACTCGCTGCTTTTAACTATGACTTTCCCAACCCGTTGAGTGTCCGCCTAGCGAGCAGCCTTGGGGCAGTGATGAGCCCGAGTGTGTGCGGCCAGCGGCGTTTAGAGCCCTCGTGCTCCGGCTTCAGCCGAGGCCAAAGCAGCGAGGTTTATAGGTGAGGCCGCGCTGTCCCACCCGGGCTGAATGGATGCACCCCATTTTCTGCGACGAGGCAGGCAGGAGTTAGGGTTATTCGGGCACTTGCTTGAGCCTTTCCTCCACCCACTAAGCCCCGTGCCAGGTGCTTTGGGAGGGTGGGAGGAGATATACAAATATGCTTTAACAGTAGATCCTGCACGCAAGTAGCTTTCAGACAGGTAGGGACAGAAGACATGTCCAAAAATAACTTGCAAAGGAATGAATGCTCCAAAAGAGAAATCAGAAAATGCTTTTTTGATGCGAACATGAGCTCAGAGTGTGAAATGGCAACCGCCTGGGAGAACGGCAAGCTGGTGGCTTCTTCCCTGCTGGCTCGTAGCCGTGTTTTCAGAGCTGTTTTACAGAAGCAAGCTGCCCCAGCCTCCTTACTCAGACCAACCAACATTAGTTTCCCCTCAGCAGGGTGCTCAGTTCTAGGGGATAGTGAAGTATAAGAAATGGACCCTGCCTCTAACAGATTTACAATCCACTGGGAAGAGAAGAAAAGTATGTGTGAAACGAGTAAAAATTCAAGACAGAATACAGTTGAAGACTAATTGTGGTATGCCAATCAAGGTTTTCAGATGCATTCAGGGGTCTGGCTGGTTAGCTCCGTTGGTTAGAGCAGGGTGTTGGTAACACCAAGGTCAAGGATTCAGATCCCTACAATGGCCAGCTGCCAAAAAAAAAAAAAAAAAAAAAAAAAAAAAAAAAAAAAAAA